GATGATACAAAGAGAATTAACCAACCAATCGTTTACAAAAAGACGTTTAGTTACAACCAGAAGAGTCTCTGTTTTCTCACTCTTTAATTTAATATGCTTCTTACTTTGGTGTTGGTTCCTAATCTGAAGCCAACAACATTCAGATCAGTGTTTGTGCCAAAACTGTTGGAAGCATCAACACTTGTAGCCACAGGAGGGCGGACCACAAGAAATCCACCTCTGCATGCTGCTGATTCTCAGACTGTAACATGTGGATTGGTTTTCTACAGTTGCCGTCACAGCACCACTTTGGTGGAAAAGAGGATTAAGACCAACTGTGCTCAGTGGAAGGTCAGTCTGCTCTCGCTCACAGATTTGACGCGCTGCGATACTCACAAGGTGCTTTTTGGCGTTGAAGCTGTGATGTCACATCATAGTGAGAAAAGTCTCGTTTCTAGTATCGTGAACGGGTTCTGTGGTCGTCGTACGATTACTTTGCAGATTGCGTGTTGTAGCCGTGTGCTCGCTGCAGTGTACTTTTTTATCGTGGTGTTGTTGTTCCTTCAGCCTGCTGCAGAGTACAGTGAACTTATAACGCACACTGAAGTGAAACGTGTTTACTGCTGACACTTATTTTTATCTTTGTTTTTTCCCCATACTTCCCCCAATCTGTAAACTCTGCTGTTCCTCTCTTTCCTGTTCTGCCCCTCTTTTCAACCAATCAGCTTTTATCCGACACACCCAGGTCGAGCTGCATGGTGTTGGGTTTTTGGGCGACTGCATTTAAGCGTTTTAGAATCGGTTGCATCCCCGTTTGTGTAGGTTTTATGCTCTATACTGAAACTATGTTAAATGCATCATCTCTGTCAGATAAAATGTAATAAAGAAATCAAAAGTAAAAGTGAAACAACACAAATCTCTCAAACTGGAAATGAACTGCAAACTCTTGGTTGCACAACACTGATGAACTGATACGGAGAATGGATGGCTGAAGATGTTTCCTTGTGGTTCAAATATACCAATCAAATCAATTCGTGTACTTACACAGTTTGTATTTAAATCTGAGCTGTAAATTTTTTTATCAATCTTCTACCCAAATATGAACTGGATCCCTTTAAAGACAGACCACACAGCATCTTCCTGGGTTTGCCTCTCTCCTCCGTCGCCTCCCCACAGTTAAACCTTCAGTCAGTCGCCTGCTGATGTGCAGATTGAAGTGATTTGGCTGCAGCAGGAGATGTTGATCCATTAAATAAGATTAGCTAAAGAAAACATTTCGAAAGGAATCTGCGTGCGGGGAGTTCCCATTCATCATCATTAGAATCATTTAAAGCTTTCGTAGAATGACAGCAGCTGCATGAATAGCGCTGCTGTCTTGGCAGATTTATTTAACTTTCTGAAGACGTTGGCTGCGTCCGTCACGGCCACCACAAAGTTGACATGTGCTGCTAATTCTGTGGAGAAAAGAAAAATCTGCGACTTCCTTAATGTATCACAATTCACATAATTTTCAAACGGGCTGGTATCCTAATAAATTTAGGAAGTGACTAAAGAGCCTTAAACTTTGGCCTGCTTAAAAAAAGTTGTTTCAGCTGACTGTTAGCTAGCGTGCTGATGTGCCAGACATGAAACCAAAGTGAGGTGGTGCAAATGGTCTCGAGGAAAGAGCCGCAGAGAAATGGAGGAGAAATTGAGGTAAGTAGTTTAGTGAAAAGAGAATTTTTGTTTGGAAAACTCAAACAAAGGTAGACTGTCTGGTTCCCAGTAGCAGATCTTTGAGTTTCAGTCTTTTACCAGAATCACCATCCTGCTGAACTCCTTCCAGAGTAATCCTTAATATTCTGCACTTTAACATATGTCATAATTTCACCTTTATTACTATTTATTGATGTGAGAAAGTTAAGCAAAAATGTTATTTAGCACCAAATTACTGACGTCACTTGTTGATTTATAACTAGACTCTGTCAGATTTCAGTCTTTGATACGTAACAATGATCAGATGCTTTACCATCACCTTGGCTAAGAATTTAACTTTGGTGGAGTAAGTACTGTGGCTTTGACTACTTTGACAACATTGGTTATTTCCTTATTTGTTATGTTATTTCTAATCATTTCATAGTAATTTTATCTATTTTAATTTGTGCTTCAAACATTTTTGGGGATGCAAAGAAACTCATTTCAGAGGAAAAACCTTAAATATTACTGGAAAAGGTCTATCAAGCCCACGCACATGTTAGCAGGTTTTTCCCGTTCAAACAGAGCACACAGCTGAACTCTCAATGACTTTATCTCCACTAAATCTGCTTAAATCCCGTCAGTGACTCCACTGATCTTTCCACAGTAGATCATTTCCCAATATCAGAGCCCTGACTGCCAAAACTAGCCGAGCCTCTGAAACAGACTAAAGTCCCGTGCATGTGTCATCAGTAATATCAGTTCTAATGCATAACGGGAGGCGCTGCTTTGTAGCTGCCAGCTGATCGCTGCGTACACTTTAGCAGTGGTATTACAAACTATTTAATGTTTTCAGAACGTTTGCTGCACCTGTTTTAGTGAACAAATGTAAAATGTAGTAGTGCCAGTGTATTTTACAGTTGCATGGTTGGGCTTTTTTTTATTGGCACTTTATTATTAATATTAGTGTTATTCTTTTAAAAACGGTTAAAAAAAGAAATAATTGGAAGGAAATGAGTAAAAGTGCCTGTGCTGAAGAAAATGCCT